ATAACATGACGGTATAATGTTTTGGTGTTTCTAAGAGATAATGCGTCCGAAAGGCATTGTTGAAATGAAATTATATACAACGTAGAAATGTAAATATTAAAACAGTTAACTCGATGTGTTTTTGGAAAACGGACTTAGGCTACTTTCAAAATAAACGGCTCAAATGATAATAGATATATAATATATAAATATTTTTTAACGTTCGTTTCACGTCTTCGCGTGCAATTGATCTTTCGCAACTTCCGTTACTGCAACCCCGAGGTAATTTCAAGTATGAAGCTTTTTTTCATTTCAACCGAACATACGAATTTCAAGACCTGAAAATCGTAATTGAAAAGATTTTAACTTCTGATGTAAATCATTAAGTATTCTGAAAATCACGATGATTATTAGTGTACCAGTAACCCACTTTCTGTTCGTTCGGATTGACACTGACTGACTGATTCACTGAACTCACAAGGAGAACACCCGGGTGTGGAAATCGCTTTTAGAATGGCATTAGGCACCGCAAGCTGTGCTACACACGCTCGCCGTTGCATAACTCTCTTCGCGCGTTCCGTTGGCATGCAAAGGAACAAACTTCTTAATTAAAATAATGAGAACCGCTCGAGCACACAATTCGTTCGGATATAGAAAACTTCGGTGCGGGAGACTTGCAATTGTTCGCTATCCAAGAGTTTTGCAGATACGGCGTTCTTCCGGCAAGAAATCAAAAGAGCAAACGTGTGCTGAGAGCTGAAGCTCGAAAGCAGCGAGAACGGTAAGAATAAATAAAGAATTTAGCTTATAACCCTTTAACATACGATTTTCTTCTTAGTTACTACGATTAGAAACGTTTCGATTGCAATAATTTCTTAGAAGGGGAAGAAAATCGATGTTTATCGTATGCCTAAATTTACTCGTTTGCTTAAATATTCGCGACACGAGATTAGAATTTTATTCCAATTTTAAGGGACAGAATAACGTCTATACTCGATAAGTTATTGCTAGAAATTTTCACGACGAGCCGGGCTCGTCGAAGTATGGCAAGGGGTTAATCGTTGCCCGTGTCGCGCAGCTTCCATTTCTTTTTCTCTCGGGGCCTGATTCAGCCCGATCCGTGTGCTCGGATGTTCCACGATATTTATGAACTCGATTACTAACGACGAGCTAATTAGTCGATGCGATCGGGTTTCGTCTCGTTCGATTTTGAAAGGGAGAGAGGAAACACACGCGTGTCTCTGCAGCCTCGACCGACCGCAGATCGAAAAACGAGACAACGTATTGGAAGAACGAGGGCAATTGGAAGGACGACACACACCGGCATGAGGAGAACGAGTATCGATCTTCGTCGGTAACGCGCTAAAAGTCGTGCCAGACGTTCGTTCGTTCGTTCGTTCGTTCTTTTTGCGCTAGAGTCGACGACGGAGAAGGTTAAACTGGTCTTTTTCCTCGAACGAATATAATCATCATCCACTTCTCATTTGCGTGATTTCTGCGGATACTTTTGCGACAGCCCGTCTCATCGGAATACTATTATTACGACTAATGGCTGAATGCATTTGCGTTTCATGCGCCGGTTAAGCATCGACACGTTGACTGCCAAATTACAACCGTCGATAAATCCGCAGCTTCGAGGTACAGTACTCTCTTCCAATAGTTCTTAGAAAGATAAAGCCGGACGGATAGAAAAATAGATGTACGTGGAAAGCGAAACAAACGAACAACACACGGTTATACCTCCGCGCACACCACTTTCCTCTGTAATAAAATACGCTCCCGTCCCTCAATTTACGCGAAGTCCCCGTTCCGCGTGGATTTGTTTTACGCGAATGAAAATCGCGTAAACAGAGTTTGTATGCGTAGAAAAAAACACATATTGGAAATAAAAACTGGCACGAGTTTTTCAGAAATACATATTCATTTCACATAGAGTAAAGAAAAGATATTTGTGCCCATAATTATGAAAGTCTAAGTCAACATTACTATGAATTGATCGAAAATTGTAGAAAAAGAAATACATTTTCAATCAAACGAATGTCGCAGCCGGATTTTATTTCAACGAAATCACTTGAAAAATCAATAACAAGGAGAGTAAAAAATACCGCGGGCGAATCTGTCTCTTGGTTAAAAATTCAATGGATGAGATTCTTGAAAAATGAACCTTATCAAATGTTTTATAAGACTTCTTTAGATGTGATTCTGAATTCCAAGTTTTGGATCTTTCACCTAAAAGAGGAAGACCAAAAATATACGAAAATATTCAATTACTTCCATTATACAACACCACTAGACCAGTAACGGAAGAAAAACATAAAGATCTTATGTGTTTACTACCATACATCCCTCCAGTATTTCAGGAACATTTTAAAAATCTTAAAAACTCGAAATTATGATAAAAATGGATTACTTTTTAAAAATGGTTAATAAATGTTTATGAATTATTTCGTTAAAGTTGTTGTTTCAAATGGACCGTTTATTTTGAAAGTGGTAT